AGTGCCCTGAATCTGCCTAGGATCTGCCCTAGGACCTGCAAAAAAAAGAAGAAAGAAGAGGAAGAGAAGGAGGAGAAGGTGGAAGAGAAGAAGTTGCTCAGTATAACTACATTGGCATTTTAATAGTCTCTGGCTTAAATCATATAATACAAGGGAAGCCAATTTTGTATAACAGTCAATCAAGAAGAAAATAGGAAGCTGGGCGCTGGTGGCTCACGCCTGTAATCCTAGCTACTCAGGAGGCTGAGATCTGAGGAATGCAGTTCAAAGCCAGCTTGGGCAGGAAAGACCATGAGACTCCTATCTCCAATAAACCACCAGAAAACCGGAAGTAGCACTGTAGTTCAAGTGGTAGAGCACTCGCCTTGAGCTGAAGAGCTGAGGGACAGTGACTAAGCCCAGAATTCAAGCCCCGTGACTGACCAAAAAAAAAACAAAGAAGAAAATAGGCTGACCCAATTAGGTCACATTATATACATAAGCTAAACCACAGTTGTTATCATATTATCATCATACTGGAGCTAATCACCCAGAACCTTAAAGAAGGACTCATGGACTTAAGTTCTCTTCATAAGATCCTTCATATGTCCTTGGATATTTTGTTTTGTTTTTGTTTCTGATTCTGTGAGACAAAGCCCTAGTATGTAGCTCAAGCTTACCTTTAGCCTATAATCTTTCTGCCTCTGCCTCAAAGTGCATTCTCTACCCACCCAGGTCAAAATTTGTGCTTCTCTTGGTTTCTATTGCTTTCAGTGTATTGAGCTGAACTGAAGAAATGCTATACCTTTCTTTTAATACTCCCACTTGAAGTTATAAAATTACTAAGCTTGATTCCAGTGTCCATTGATCTTGGTTGTCAGTATCTGCTGTCAGGTACAGAGAGAGGGAATGACCCTAACTAGCTATTGAGCCACCTAAGTTGCAAAGTCACCAGCTGTGACAAGTCAGTGTGTATGTACCATGGCATCTAGAGAGTTGCCACACAGTGAGTCATTGCCTCATCAAGACATGAGTCCATGGGTCATCTAAAAGTGGATTGTATCTGACCACTTCCTCTATTCTGTCCCTATTTTCCTACTCATATAAAGAACTGAAGGTCTAAATGTTACCAAGGAAGAAAGAAAAAAGTAGAGCATGAAGCAGTGCCCACTGCCCAAAATGTATTGGCTTTAATAACTATTTTGATTTTCAGTCCTGGGGTTTGAACTCAGGGCCTGGGCTCTGTCTCTAAGCCTCTCTATGCTCAAGGCTAGGGCTCAACCACTTGAGCCACAGCACCACTTCTGTCCTCTTCCGTTTATGTGAAGCTGAGAAATCAAACCCAGGGTCATGCATGTTAGGCAAGCACTCTACCACTAAGCCACATTCCCAGCCCCCCATAGATCATAATACCTCCTTTTCCTTCCTTTGTTCCTTTATTCCTTTGTTTGTGCCTTCCTTCCCCTTACATTCCTCTTCTCTCTTTGTTTCCTTTTGCTGTAATAGGGATTGAACCTAGGGCTTTGTGCATGCTAGGCAAGTGACCTACCACTTCAGACAAGCCCCCAAGTCTTACCTTTGCCCACTTGTAAAATGGATATAATAACATTTATATCCATGTTATATGAATTTTTTATTGATATGAAGTGTGTATGTATGTGTGTGTGTGTGTGTGTGTGTGTGTGTGTGTGTATTCTTTTGTAACTGGCCACTTGAAAGTCTCCAGAAGCACTGATTATAAAGTATTTTTGGGCTGGGCTCTGGTGGCTCACGCCTGTAATCCGAGCTACTCAGGAGGCTGAGATCTGAGGATCATGGTTCAAAGCCAGCCCAGGCAGAAAAGTCTGTGAGACTCTTATCTCCAATAAACCACTAGAAAACCAGAAGTAGGGCTGTGGCTCAAGTGGTAGAGCGCTCGCCTTGAGCTG